TCACGATCCCGCCGCTTTCATACGCGCCATAGGCTGACGTGTCGTCGTCTAAGAGGAACGAATGCGCCCGGACGTTCCGCACGCGCCGCGGCTTCCCGTCGTTCAGCTCCGTCATCCCCCGGACCTCCGAGAACACCACCAGATCGCCGTCTTGAAATCCCAGCCGTTCATCATCCACACAGGTGACGAGGGCATCAGGGGAGTCGTTGGCGACAGATGCGACGATTCCCGAGAAGGGCTCCTCCCCGTCAACATCTGTGACGGTGAACTTGGGGCCGAAGTCGCAGAAGATCGCACCGAACACGCCCCGGGTCTCGCAGCGGATGAAGGGCACTGGGGGGGAGTGCGCGTGGCAGTATGCATCGAACTCGATTGCCTTATCGAGGGGTAAGTCGGTGAAAACGACCGCCTGCAGGAAGGAATGGGGATGGGGAATTGGCAGACAGAGAGAGAAGGGTCAACGCATGGCTGAGACTCCACGGGTCTCGCAGCGGATGAAGGGCACCGGAGCGGAGTGCGCGTGGCAGTAGGCATCGAACTCAATGGCTTGATCCAAAGGCAGGTCGGTGAAAACAACAGCCTGCAGGGAGGATTGGGGAATGCGGGATGGAAAGAAGGGAGGAGAGAGTGATGAAGCGGGTCAATAAACGCCTCAGACCGCACAGGTCTCGCAGCAGATGAAGGGCAAGTGTAACGCATCCTTAAAAAAAAAAAAAAAAAAAAAAAAAAAGCGGATGAAGGGCACGGGAGGTGCGGGGGGGGAAGGGATGTGCATGCGGCAATAGGCATCAAACTGGGATGGCTCGGTCCAGAGGCAGGCCGGCGAACATGACCGCCTGGAGGCAGGGAGATACGGGGAATGTGGGGTAGAAACAAGAGGAGGAGAAAGAAGGAAGGAGAGATATATAAGGTGCCAAAGAGCACGTCTCAAATTCCCCCATGGTTCTCGCACCGTGTGAAATTGTAGCGAGTCGACTCAAAAGTCAACTCGCTACAATGTCACACTAAGGCTCCCGTCTGGGGTACCATAGGAAGGAGAGACATATAGGGTGCCAGAGAGCACGTCTCAGAGTCCCCCATGGCTCTCGCAGCCATGGCGGTGGCAGGGCACCCGAGGGGGGGAGGGAGAGAGGGGCGGGGGGGAGTAGAGCAGGTAGCAGTAGGCGTCGAATCCTGTGGCTTGATCCAGAGGTAGGTCCGTGAGAACAACGGCCTGTACGTGGTTGGTGGCACGCGCGCAGCACACGCCTGCACGTGTTGCTGCAAGAGCCAGTTCCTCACCCACCTAGAAATTCCCCAGAAACTCCTTGATGGGACCTGAGTACACGTGCACAGGTACCACCCTGTTGAGCTCCTGCACGCGCGCAGCACATGCCTCATACCCCACTAACCTCCGTCCCTCCATCACCCACCTGGAAGTCCCCCAGGAACTCCTTCTCAATGGGTGCTGTGTGCACGCGAACGTCCACCGCCTTGTTTAGCTCCTCCAGACGAGCAGCACAGGAGCGCAGCACACGCCCCATACCCCAATCCCCGTCTGTTACTCACCTGGAAATCCCGCAGAAACTCACGCCTCATACCCTCCTTACCTCCCTTCCTCTAGCACGCACCTGGAAATCACCCAGAAACTCCTTTTCAATCGGGGCAGTGTGCACATGCACCTCCACGGCCTTGGTCAGCTCCTGCAGGCGCGCAGCACACGCCTCATATTCCCCTGACCCCCCTGAGCTCACCTGGAAATCACCCAGGAACTCCTTTTCAATGGGAGCTGTGTGCACGTGAACCTCCACGGCCTTGTTCAGCTCCTGCAGGCGCGCAGCGCACGCCTGCGCGCGGTTGACCCCCACGTCGGCCTCCGTGAGGAAGAACTGCGCGGAGAGGTGCTGCACTGTGACTGTGACTGTATCGTGCACCGTCACGGACTTGACGCCCGCTAGAATCACGTTCTTGGCTGCGCAAGGGGGATGGAAACGAGAGGGATGGAGGAGAAGTAAAAAAATAGGGCTAAAAACGCGCGATGCCAAGGGAGGGAGGGAGGCACGGGAGAAGGCAACGCAAGGAGAAAAAAAATGAGCGATGGAGTAAAGCCCTGAACCCCGCAAAGGAACCGATGGCGGGAATGGCTGGAGCAGCGTTAACCAGAACGAGCAGGCAATGGACCGCTACCCGTCTCCTGAACTGAACGTGCTCACTACCGAACCACCGTGTGGAGCAGCAGGCACTGGTAAAACACACGAGCGGTAGGAACGTGCAGCGGGAACCTCTTATATCGGAGCAGTTTAATGCGTCAGAAGTTAAAACGAGCATGCTCAGATCGACTTGAATGCGTTGCATTTAGTCGCGCATATCAGCGAATCGAATTTATAGAAACACGATTTTCGCACAAAAATCACGAAATATTGTGAGACATCTCAGGCGGAGATCCCAAGATGCAGGTCTCTCCATCTTGGGATACATGCGGCCATAAACCTCATCAATTCATCGCATCCCTCTCTAAGCGCCTTCGCGCACCCATCTGGATGCCAAGGCCGGCGAGATCTGAAATCAGAATCTTAGCGGCAAACACACGCTTCACCATCTCAATAGGCCTATTTCGCTGCCCTAAGAACTCTCGACGCCCTTCTTACCAATCTCTACGCCAAGGCCGTTGAGTCCCGAATTCGCGCGTTCGCAAAAAACATGCGTTTCATCGTCTCGTGGCCATACATCGCCAGTTCCTCAAGTAATCTTATTCACCGACCATTCTTATTCCGATTGTCACCTCGCTTCACGTACCGATTTCCACGCCAAGGCCGTTGAGGCCCGAGATCAGCACCTTCGCGCCGAACATGCGCTTCATCGTCTCGCGGCCATACACCGCTAGCTGGCGGCTGTGCAGATCCTCATCGATCACAATCTCCCCGCCTCCGCCGGCGACGGTCGCGGCGCCGTTCGCGCTGTCAGATGTCGGCTGCGGAGCCATCTCCACGTCGCGATTCGACGGATTCGTCACCTTGGACAGAACGGAATCGGCTAATTTAGGGTCGGTAACTACAGTCGCGTCCTCGCAGTCGATCTTCTGGCGCTTGTGCTCGCGATCGTCGGATTCCACGGCGCCGCCGTCCGCGCCCGATCGCGAGGTGAGATGCAGTGGCATACAGCAAATCGCCTCGCCGGCGGTGCTACCTCCTAATATACTAAGGACCGACGCGCGACGACACGAGGAGACCGAGCACGGAAGGAAAAGGGGTTCCGAATTGAACGATAGGGGATCGAGAAACCCCCCGTTTCGGTTCGGCCGAGGTACCTTGGAAAGCTCTGCTGAATCCGAGGTGGGGAAAAGCGAATTTGGAGAAATGTGGCGAGAAAGAATGCTGCTCGAGGAGGTGAGTATGGGAGAGATGTGGAAAGGGAATGGACGAGAAGGAAAAGGAAATCGAAGGGTGTGGGGGGGAGGGGATGGGGGTGGAAGGGAAAGCAGTGGAAAGGGAAGGGAGAGGGAATGGGAGAGAAGACACGGAGGAAGGGAATGGAATGTTCTGTTCCAACCCAGAGGGAATTGATCTGCCCTGCCAGTGCGGGCAGCACGCGGTTTGCCCGCAGACGTTGTGGGTGTCAGACGTTGTGGACGGTGTGCTGCGATTTGGTATGTTCAATATGGTGGTGAGAGGTTATTGGAATGCTTGGCTTGACGACCTTGGCTTGCAGGGCACGGCTGGTCTGAAAAAATCACTACTCGATACTGACAGAACCGCTGATTCAGACGTAGCTCACCGAAGTTATTTCTATAGTGAGTTCTCATAGAGTAGTTTCACGTGGTTACCACTCGTTACCAAGCATGTCCATTTGCTGAAAATGCGTCATTTCGGCTTTTGTCGCGATGGCTGAATCACAGTCCAGTCACTGGGAATGTCACACGACAACATTTAGGAGGCAAGGGTAAGAGGGCCTACTGCACTCGGTTCGGCAGCACCCACCACACACTCGCTTTCTCGGCCAACTGAGTTCTGTCCCTTCTTTTCGCGACGCGCTGCTGACCTGGCAATGCTTATCCAATCCGCGGCGACATTGAGAGTTGTTTCGCGGGCCACTCTCGACGTCCCATTTTCGAAAATTTCCCACACCTGGCAGAACCACCGTTATGCTGTGACCGCCAGAAGCCCTTCCTCCAGCCTCCGTCGAATCGACTGGAAACGGCACGTTCGGTTCCACCAGATCCGGCAGAATCAATTTTTCGAGCAACCGTTTAGAGAGATTTCAACGGCCGTCCCTTTCTCCGGTCGAGGCACCGCGTCCGGTGCTTCCAGAAGGGACGTTCCAAGCTTAATAGCGCGCGTTGCGAGTGCGAGCATGGCTACCGGCGGCGATCGCGGGGAGGGCTGGCTGGTGGGAGCCATCGACCAGGGCACGACGAGCACGCGATTCTTCCTATACGACGAGCATTTACGGGTGGTCGCGTCGCATCAGATGGAATTCGAGCAGATTCAGCCTCAAGCCGGGTAGGCTTGCTGTACTCATTCGTTAGAAGAAAAAAAACCCTCGTTTGTAGCTAAGGCGATAGCGTGCGTGTATTGTCTCTCTGAAAATAAGCCATTCGAGAGGGGACAATGAGCAGTCTGGCCTGGCAAGGCTGTAGTGCAACAGCGCGAAAACCTCGTCCCTCTGATCGTTTGTCACAACTCTTCCAACTCAATCGTATCCCTTCATGGAGCAGGGCCATGCTGCATGGCCCTGTTATGACCCTGTTCGTAGCTCCGTGAGCGCATGGGGAGGGATAGCAAAGCAAGAAAGAGCCGAGGCCTCAAGCCACTAGCCTGCTTTCCTCAATCTCCTCACGTTTCCAGTTGGATAAGAGAAGACAACACATCAGCTCCTTGCCCTCACCCTCTTCCATCCTCCTCAAACTTAATCGTGTCATTCTCCCAGCTGGGTGCAGCACGACCCCATGGTCATCCTCTCCACGGCCCGCCAGTGCATGGAGGGAGCCATGGCGACAGCGAGCCACACACATGAACGCAAACATGACCCGACCTCCAGGTTTCGCTTCCCTTCCCTCCGTCTTTTCTCCCATACTGCTTGCCCCTCCACTCCAGCTGGGTGGAGCACGGCCCCATGGTCATCCTCTCCACAGGTCGTCAGTGCATGGAGGGAGCCATGGCAGCAAAGAGCCGCACAGTGCTGCAGAGATGTTCAGACCTCCCCTTCGCCCTCCTCCCGTTCTGCTCTGATATCCAGTTGGGTGCAGCATGACCCCATGGTCATTCTCTCCAGGGTCCGCCAGTGCATGCAGGGAGCCCTGGCAGCAGCGAGGAGAACAATACACCACACATCAGACCCCTTTCCCTTTCCTCCTTCCTCCCTCCCAACCTCCCGTCGCCTCATGTTCCCAGCTGAGTGGAGCACGACCCCATGGTCATTCTCTCCACGGTCCGCCAGTGCATGGAGGGAGCCGTTGTAGCAGCAGCAGCATGCCACACACGAACATAATCCGACCTCACTGCGTCTCCTCCACTCCATTCCGCCGCGCATCCTTCTTATGTTCCCAGCTGGGTGGAGCATGACCCCATGGTCATTCACTCCATGGTCCCCCAGTGCATGGAGGAAACCATGGCAGCAAAGAGTCACGCATGATAGGAAGATGTTCTTACCTTCCTGCGTGCCTCTAATCCACTCCGCGTTTTTCTCCCCATCGCTGCATGCCTCTCCAGCTGGATGCAGCATGACCCCATGGTCATCCTCTCCACCGTCCGCCAGTGCATGGAATGGAAGGGGTCCTGGCAGCAGCGCGGAGCAAACAAAACAGCACATCAGATCAGTCACACCTCTCTGCCCTTTCTCCTTCTACCCCCCCTTGATTCCCAACGCCTCATTTCCCAGTTGGGTGGAGCACGACCCCATGGTCATCCTTTCCACGGTCCGCCAGTGCATGGAGGGAGCCCTGGCAGCAGCGCGGAGCAAGGGAGTGGATGTTGGCCCTGACGCGGTCAGGGCGGTGGGGCTGACCAATCAGAGGGAGACAACTGTAGTGTGGCGCAGGAGCACGGGGATGCCTCTTTATAACGCTATAGTGTGGATGGATGTGCGCACGAGCGCCCTGTGCCAGTGAGTTGGGGTTGGGACTGCTTGTGGTGGTGTAATAACATGGGAAGGAGCTCTGGGGGAGCCTCTATACTACGCCATAGTGTGGATGGACGTGCGCACGAGCGCCCTGTGCCAGTGAGTCGGTCAAGACTGCTGGTTGTGACTTGGCGTGTTGACAATTAGGGAGAATCCTATCTGTCTGTGAGGAATGGTGAGTCTTCTCACGTTTTCTGGTTTTGGGACATCTACGGTAAAATATTCGAGCAAACTGGACCATTCTCATCACGTTTTCATGTTTCCTCCTGCTTTTCGTTCCTCCTGCCTGCACCCAGGCGATTGGAGCAGCAGCTTTCAGGTGGACGGGACGAGTGGAGGGGCGTGACGGGGCTCCCTCTAAGCACCTACTTCAGCGCCCTCAAGCTGACGTGGCTGCTGGAGGAGGTGCCAGCTGTCAGGCAGGCAGTGGAGGAAGGTGATGCGCTGTTTGGCACCATTGACACGTGGCTCATCTGGAACCTGACAGGTGGCGCTCTCAGAATGTAACAACTCACTGCATATTGCAAATCTCATTCTTTCCATCGGTCCTTGTATTGATCTCATTTACCCGCCGACCCAAACAGTCCTCTGTCATTGGCATTCACTTGTCCTTTAAGTTCCTTCCCCTGTCCCTTAGTTTTTTAGTAATCTAATTTCTCTCTCCCCTCTTGCTTTCATCTTTCTTGCTATGGCTCTGATTCACCTCATTTCACTTGGTGCAGTGGGTGGGGGGGCTGACTGGCCGGCATGACTTCCACTCTCCACCATTCCGCACCCCTCCACACCCCCTAAACTGGTGGTGCATGCCATGTGACTGACAGCAGCAATGCCCTCGCACACTGTTCATGGACCTCAGAGCGCTGCAGTGGAGCCAGCCCATTCTCGACGCCCTTCGGCACACACACCCACTTTTGCGTCTCAAAAGCCCTTCGGCACGCACACCCACTTTTGAGACGTCTCAAAAGCCCTTCGGCACACACACCCACTCCTCTGCAACCCCCCACAAGAGGTGCATGCCACGTGACGGACAGCAGCAGCGCCTCCTGCAAGCTGCTCATGGACCTCAGAGCGCTGCAGTGGGTGGGTCTAACAGGCAGGTTGTCGCCCATTCCTCCATGTGCTCTTGCAGGCGGTGCCTGCCATGTGACGGACAGCAGCAACGCCTCGCACACTCTGCTCATGGACCTCAGGGCACTGCAGTGGGTGGGGTGGGGCAGACAGGCCGGCATGATCTTTCCTTCCACACACCCACTCCTCCACACCCCTCCACACCCCTCCACACACCCCTACAGGTGGTGCATGCCATGTGACGGACAGCAGCAACGCCTCCCGCACTCTGCTCATGGACCTCAGGGCGCTGCAGTGGAGCCAACCCGTTCTAGAGGCTCTCAACATTCCGACAAGCATCCTCCCCAGCATCATTTCCAGTGCTGGTGCGTCTCAACAGTTGAGCTTTGGGTGGGTTGCTGATGGTTGAGGGAATGAGAGCGAAGGGGAAGCGACAGGGGGAGAGATTTGCGTGTGTTCTTTTCCTCCCGTTTCCCATTCCATGGCCGACAAGCATCCTCCCCAGAATCATTTCCAGTGCTGGTGGGATGCTGGGTGGGCTGCTGATGGGTCCAGTCTTGAGTCGCTTCAGAAATAGGCTGGTAATGGGGGAGGGAGGGAATGAGCAAAGCCAAGGAAACGAGACACATTGGCGACCAACACGCTCTCTACTCTACTCCGTAGCTAAGTTGGATATTACGCTAGTGCCAGGGACGTACGGACCCATCTTAGCTCCACAGCTCCCTTTCCCCTCCGTCCATCTGTCTGTCCACCAAACCCTCCCTTATCTCCCAACGGCATCTCAGGGCACATCGCCCCCATCTCCTCCACATGGCCACTGGCAGATGGAGGATGGACGGATGGGTGCTGCTGTCGGGCTGTCTGACAGACCAGCACGCTGCCATGCTGCGGCAGCTGTGCTCACAGAGCCTATCGCCCCTGGGCCAACAGTGCTCTCAGAGGCTCAGTTCAGGGGAAGGCGAAGACTCATCTATATTGTGCCCATCCATCCCTCCTTACTCCTCTCCCCCTCCCACCCACCGCAGAGCACATCGCCCCTATAGCGTCCTCCTGGCCACTAGCAGGGGTGCCGCTTTCGGGCTGTCTGGGGGATCAACATGCTGCCATGTTGGGGCAGCGGTGCTCCCAGGGGCAGGCTAAAGCCACCTTTGGCACGGGGTGCTTCATGCTTCTCAACACAGGCCCGCAGGTGAGGCTGACCTGAGCTGCATCACGACTGGATGGTAACATATAGAGCCATCTGCACATGCCAGGGACCCAGGGACAAGCTAAAGCCACCTTTGGCGCGGGCTGCTTCATGCTGCTCAACACAGGACCGCAGGTGAGGTGACTTTTCCTCCTTACACGTGGATAATAATATAAGAAATTCATGTTCACGTGCTGGGGCAGCGGTGCTCCCAGGGGCAAGCCAAGGCCACTTTTGTGGCACGGGGTGCTTCATGCTGCTCAACACAGGCCCGCAGGTGAGCCACGAGGAGGCTATAGGAGGTCTCCTTGCTCTGTACCAGCCAATTGCAATGCTGCCAATCGGCACGGCACTGTGCAGGATGCAGTAGGCGCTCAGGGGCAGGCCAAGGCTGCCTTTGGCTCGGGCTGCTTCATTCATGCTTCGTTCTTCCTCTCCCCTCACCCCTGCAAATGTCTTTTTTTTCTTCTTGTTCGTTTCTTGCCTTAACCACCAGGTGTGCACATCTCAGCACGGCCTGCTCAGTACAGTGGCCTTCCAACTGGGGAGAAAGGAAGAGGGGAGAGGAAAGGAAGCCAGATGGGAGGCAGGCGGAGTGGGCAGCAGAAGCAAAACAGATGCAGCAGAATGCACAGAAGAAGCTGGTACTTGCATGGGCCGAAGTGCCAGTGGCGGCAGTGGCGGCAGCAGCAGTGGCGGCAGTGGCACGTGCTACTATGCCTTGGAGGGCAGCATAGCCATAGCAGGCGCGGCGGTGCAGTGGCTGAGGGACAACCTCGGGATCATCGCCAGCACCAAGGACGTGGAGGCTCTGGCAGCCTCAGTGCCCCACACAGGGGGGGTGTACTTTGTTCCCGCCTTCAGGTGGGTGATGCTGCAATCAGTTGAGTGTTGTGGGCCATCAGGTGAGTGTTATGGGCCTTCAGGTGCAGTGGCCGGTGCAGTGCCTGAGGGACAACCTCGGGATCATCGCCAGCACCAAGGACGTGGAGGCTCTGGCAGCCTCAGTGCCCCACACAGGGGGGGTGTACTTTGTTCCCGCCTTCAGGTGGGTGATGCTGCAGTCAGTTGAGTGTTGTGGGCCATCAGGTGAGTGTTATGGGCCTTCAGGTGCAGTGGCCGGTGCAGTGCCTGAGGGACAACCTCGGGATCATCTCCAGCACCAAGGACGTGGAGGCTCTGGCAGCCTCAGTGCCCCACACAGGGGGGGTGTACTTTGTTCCCGCCTTCAGGTGGGTGATGCTGCATTCAGTTGAGTGTTGTGGGCCATCAGGTGAGTGTTATGGGCCTTCAGGTGCAGTGGCCGGTGCAGTGGCTGAGGGACAACCTCGGGATCATCGCCAGCACCAAGGACGTGGAGGCTCTGGCAGCCTCAGTGCCCCACACAGGGGGGGTGTACTTTGTTCCCGCCTTCAGGTGGGTGATGCTGCAATCAGTTGAGTGTTGTGGGCCATCGGGTGAGTGTTATGGGCCTTCAGGTGCAGTGGCCGGTGCAGTGCCTGAGGGACAACCTCGGGATCATCGCCAGCACCAAGGACGTGGAGGCTCTGGCAGCCTCAGTGCCCCACACAGGGGGGGTGTACTTTGTTCCCGCCTTCAGGTGGGTGATGCTGCATTCAGTTGAGTGTTGTGGGCCATCAGGTGAGTGTTATGGGCCTTCAGGTGCAGTGGCCGGTGCAGTGCCTGAGGGACAACCTCGGGATCATCGCCAGCACCAAGGACGTGGAGGCTCTGGCAGCCTCAGTGCCCCACACAGGGGGGGTGTACTTTGTTCCCGCCTTCAGGTGGGTGATGCTGCATTCAGTTGAGTGTTGTGGGCCATCAGGTGAGTGTTATGGGCCTTCAGGTGCAGTGGCCGGTGCAGTGCCTGAGGGACAACCTCGGGATCATCTCCAGCACCAAGGACGTGGAGGCTCTGGCAGCCTCAGTGCCCCACACAGGGGGGGTGTACTTTGTTCCCGCCTTCAGGTGGGTGATGCTGCATTCAGTTGAGTGTTGTGGGCCATCAGGTGAGTGTTATGGGCCTTCAGGTGCAGTGGCCGGTGCAGTGCCTGAGGGACAACCTCGGGATCATCGCCAGCACCAAGGACGTGGAGGCTCTGGCAGCCTCAGTGCCCCACACAGGGGGGGTGTACTTTGTTCCCGCCTTCAGGTGGGTGATGCTGCAGTCAGTTGAGTGTTGTGGGCCATCAGGTGAGTGTTATGGGCCTTCAGGTGCAGTGGCCGGTGCAGTGCCTGAGGGACAACCTCGGGATCATCTCCAGCACCAAGGACGTGGAGGCTCTGGCAGCCTCAGTGCCCCACACAGGGGGGGTGTACTTTGTTCCCGCCTTCAGGTGGGTGATGCTGCATTCAGTTGAGTGTTGTGGGCCATCAGGTGAGTGTTATGGGCCTTCAGGTGCAGTGGCCGGTGCAGTGCCTGAGGGACAACCTCGGGATCATCTCCAATGCCTGGGATGTGAAACCCCTTGCTGCCTCGGTGCCCGATACGGGAGGGTGTACTTCGTGCCCGCATTCAGGTGAGTGCTACGGGAGTCATGACCGTGTTACGAGCCTTCAGGCGCAGTGGCCGTTGCAGTGGCTGAGGGACAACCTCGGGATCATCTCGAATGCTCGGGAGGTGGAATGCCTTGCTGCTTCGGTGCCTCGTACAGGAGGGGTGTACTGTGTGCCGGCCTTCAGGTGAGTGTTACGGGCTTTCTGGTGGTTGGCCAGGTGAACTGGCAGGTGCAGTGGCTGAGGGACAACCTGAGGGTTGTCTCTGATGCAAGGGAGGTGGAAACAATGGCTGTTTCAGTGCCCCGCACAGGAGGGGTTTACTTTGTTCCTGCCTTCAGGGTAGTGGCACGGGCTCTCAAGTGCCTGTTTCCTGCCTCCAGGTGCAATGGCTGACGGGCAACTTGGGGAATTATTTTGCCCTTTTTCTCTTGCCTTGTCACTTTCTTTCTTCTCCTCTCGTGCTTCGCCTGTCGCAGTGGGCTGTTTGCACCTCGATGGAGAGAGGACGCGAGGGGAGTGATAGTGGGTCTGTCCCGCTTCACTACAAGAGCACACATCGCCCGGGCCGTGCTGGAAGCCATCGCGTGGCAGGTGGGTGGTGAAGGCAAGGCAAGTGGGTGCCGTGTGGTCACTATGTGCCGGGTCTCTCCCGCTTCACTACAAGAGCACACATCGCCGGGGCCGTACTGGAAGCAATCGCATGGCAGGTGGGTTGTGCAGGCAGGTGGGTTGTGCAGGCAGGTGGGTTGTGAATGCAGGTGGGTTGTGAATGCAGGTGGGTTGTGAGGGCAGGTGGGTTGTGAGGGCAGGTGGGTTGTGAGGGCAGGTGGGTTGTGAATGCAGGTGGGTTGCACTGTGTGGTGTGGTCACTGTGTGCTGGGTCTGTCACGGCTCACCACACGAACCCACGTACCACTTCGCCTCGCCACAAGAGCACACACTGCACGTGCAGTGCTGGCTGGAAGAACTCGCAAGGCAGGTGGGTTGTGCTAGCAAGTGCGTGTGGTGTGGTCACTGTGTGCCGGGTCTGTCACGGCTCACCACACGAGCACACATTGCACGTGCAGTGCTGGCTGGAAGGACTCGCAAGGCAGGTGGGTTGTGCTGGCAAGTGCGTGTGGTCACCACTATGTGCCAAATCTCTCACGGCTCACCACACGAACCCACATCGCACGGGCGGTGCTGGAAGCAATTGCGTGGCAGGTGGGTTCTGTGTGGTCACCGTGTGCTAGCCTGTCTCTCCCGCTTCACTACAAGACCACACATCGCATGGGTGGTGCTGGAAGCAATCGGTGGGAGGGGGGTGGGTGTTGGTGCTGCAGGTGGGTGCTAGTGGTGGCTTGGTGCTGCAGGTGGGTGCTAGTGGTGGCTTGGTGCTGCAGGTGGGTGCTAGTGGTGGCTTGGTGCTGCAGGTGGGTGCTAGTGGTGGCTTGGTGCTGCAGGTGGGTGCTAGTGGTGGCTTGGTGCTGCAGGTGGGTGCTAGTGGTGGCTTGGTGCTGCAGGTGGGTGCTAGTGGTGGCTTGGTGCTGCAGGTGGGTGCTAGTGGTGGCTTGGTGCTGCAGGTGGGTGCTAGTGGTGGCTTGGTGCTGCAGGTGGGTGCTAGTGGTGGCTTGGTGCTGCAGGTGGGTGCTAGTGGTGGCTTGGTGCTGCAGGTGGGTGCTAGTCGTGGCTTGGTGCTGCAGGTGGGTGCTAGTGGTGGCTTGGTGCTGCAGGTGGGTGCTAGTGGTGGCTTGGTGCTGCAGGTGGGTGCTAGTGGTGGCTTGGTGCTGCAGGTGGGTGCTAGTGGTGGCTTGGTGCTGCAGGTGGGTGCTAGTGGTGGCTTGGGTTCTGTGTGGTCACCACTATGTGCCACATCTCTCACGGCTCACCACACGAACCCACATCGCACGGGCAGTGCAGGAAGCAGTCGTGTGGCAGGTGGGTTCTGTGCTGGCTTGGATGCTGTGTGGTCACCGTGTGCCGGTCTGTCCCGCTCAACCACAAGAGCACACATTGCACGGGCAGTGCTGGAAGCAATCGCATGGCTTTGGATGGGTGGGGGGGTAGTGTTTCCAGCTTGTGCCACAAGTGCAACAGCAGGTGGATGCTCCCGGGCCATTCCGGAAGCAATTGCATGGCAGGTGGGTGTTGGTGCATAGCGCAACGAGAGCATGTGAGTGTGGTCAGCAGCATGGGTCTGCACCGCTTCACTAGAGCACAGGTGGTTTCTATGCCTGTAAAAACGAATATCGAATCGAATACGAATACTCATTCCCGAATATTTTGCGAAGATGTGCTCAAAATCGTATTTGACCGAATACCTGTTCCACGTCGATTGCGAACACGAATCGAATACTGGCGGATTCGAATCGAATATGAATATGCCACGAATACGCACATTCTACACTCAAATATGGGCAAACGATCCATTCTACTGACCTTTCTTAGGTCTCACCATTAAGGATGTTATTCACGCATCTCTATGTGTGAATTTCTTGACCATTCAGCTTGCGATTCTTTGACATACATAGGACCAGGCTTATACTTCCGCAGTCCATAGTACTTTAGATAGGGAAAGAGGAGAAGAGATGGGGATACGAATGTCTCTCGAGTACTCGAATATTTGTCGAACAAATACTTGCTCGATACGAATACTTGACGATCGAATACATGCGAATAGCATGCCAAATTCGGATTCGTTTTTTGGGAGGGTATTCGATCGAATACCGAATACCATTCGAATGCCGATTACTCGTTTACAGGCATAGTGGTTTCACCATGCATGCGACTCACCATGCATGCGACTCACCATGCATGCGACTCACCATGCATGCGACTCACCATGCATGCGACTCACCATGCATGCGACTCACCATGCATGCGACTCACCATGCATGCGACTCACCATGCATGCGACTCACCATGCATGCGACTCACCATGCATGCGACTCACCATGCATGCGACTCACCATGCATGCGACTCACCATGCATGCGACTCACCATGCAGCCATGCAGCCATCATGCCACCTCCACTCGCACCCTGCTCCTGCAGACTCAGGAGATTCGAGATGCAAAACGGTCTGATGCGGTGCAGTCAGGAGCAACAGGAGCTGGCAGCACTGGCAGCTGTATTACCATGCAGCATATTCATCCATCCATTCCTCCTTTTGCCTCCGCATCTTCTCCCTGCAGACTCGGGAGGTGCTAGATGCAATGCGGTCTGATGCGGTGCACTCAGGAGCAGCAGGAGTTGGGAGCGCTGGCAGCAGCAGTGACACCAACAGGGAAGGCAGCGGGGAGGGCAGCAAGGAGCAGTTTGTGTTGAGAGTGGATGGAGGGGCATCAGTGAACAACCTACTCATGCAGTTGCAGGTGAGACGAATGGAAGTAGCGGGTTTACCATACTGTTGGTTTCTGAGAGCAACAGAGAGGGCAGCAAGGAGCAATTTGTGCTGAGGGTGGATGGAGGGGCATCGGTGAATAACATGCTCATGCAAGTGAGACAGATGGATGTGAAACGGATGGCTGTGGCCTTGTGCATCTTGAAAAAAGCTCGCTTAGATGCAGGTGATGCGATTGAATCTGGAAGAGCCACCTTCCTGTTGTTCCTGAGTGCAACAAGGGGCGTGGCAGCAGCAGCAGCGGGGAGGGCAGCAAGGAGCAGTTTGTATTGAGGATGGGTGGAGGGGCGTTTGTGAAGAACTTGCTGATGCAGTTGCAGGCGAGAAGAATAGATGTGAAAGGCTTACATTTCCTGTTTGGTCCTGAGAGCAGCAAGGGGCATGGGAGCAGAGAGGCCGACAAGGAGCGGTTTGTGTTGAGGGTGGATGGAGGGGCGTTGGTGAGTTTTGAGGTGCCTATTTTCTCTGTCCTCCTCTTTCTCCCTCCGTCCATTTCAGGCTGACTTCCTCGGATGCCCCGTGCAGCGGCCAGCAGACATCGAGACAACAGCGCTGGGAGCAGCACTCGCTGCAGGAATAGGAGTGGGGCTGTGGAGTGAAGAGGAGGTGCTTGGGGGGGCAGTGGTGGGAGGTGACAGACAAACAGCAGAAGAAGGGGAGGCAGCGGACAGCGGGAGAGGGGTGGTGTTTCTGCCGTTGATAACTTCGGAAGCAAGGGAGCAGAGGTTTGCGTCGTGGTGCAAAGCGGTGGAGCGATCGCTTGGACTCTCTGATCTTGTATGACTTGAAGAGCTCGACACACAGACATGTCAATACCGGTATTTTGTGAACAAGGGAAATGTGTTCTAGGCTATAGCACTTCTTATCTGCTATGCTCATTATATGTAGAAACATGTTGTGAATGAGGCACTGTATCAATCTACGATGCATTCGGCAGCTTTCCAAACCATGTTTTTACCGTGCACTCCAACATGTCCGTGGAACAGATGATTTTCATGCAGTGTAATCTGTAATGCGTACACTAGCCTCATACTCAGTGTACCAGGAGCTGCCTAAACAAACAAAATTTGGCACGCACAACCCAGTAAAAACGAACACAGTTTAGACCTCAAAAATGCCATAATTGGATGCAAAATGGTTACAGTATTTGCTGTTTTTCGTTTCGTGGAGTTCTGTGTCTATGGAGCTATACAGATAAGATGTAGCGCTTAGCAACATGAGGGAATATGCGATGTAAGCCTCTTGGTCCTTAGCAAACGCACGAAACACGCACTGACATGATTTGGCGTAAAATCACGCTCGACATAAGTCCTTCCAAACCAATGGCGGTCCGTCCGTGATTGGAACAGCCTCAACTGCGTCTGACTGCTGTAGGTGGTCGGGTGGGTCCCCCCTTGGTCTTTTTCGGTACGGCTTCCCGAAACAAGCAGCTACGCGTCGCTTTCACACAAGTACAGTCTGCCGCTGAAGAGCAGGCATAGGGTTCTGCAATGCCCCACCGCAGAGTCATCGCGTCGCACATTGTGTCGAATCAACAGTTTCCCAAAGCATAACTGAATGCGAGGCTTGGCATTTCTTCCACTAACATACAGGGTTTAGCCACTTGCCAGCTTCGGCCTCGAGCCTCGGTTGATCGAGATTTCGCTTAGCGGTACGGAACGGATACTGTATTGTACGTTACGGGCAGTTGTCTTTCCGCTGACTGCGGCCAGGGAGGAAGGCTTTCCTTTGACTTTGAAGAGAGCGTCGCTGGATGGCACGTTACCTGAAGTGCGAGAAATTGCGAATGAAATTTCTCTCCTGCGTTACCTGTCGTTATAAAGAGGGATATAGGATGCCATGCCACCCACCGCCTCGCGCAAAAGCTACGCATGCTGGTGGTAACTTTGTCATGGTGACGGGACCAGGTTGAACACGGACGGAAATTGATCGCCTGCAAAAACGTTTGTCGGTTACGAGTCACGATGACTTTCACACGGCTTTCATTCACCTTTCTCGTGCTCTCGTTGAGGATGGAATGGAATTGGATCGAATTGAACGGCCTCACAGTTAGAGCGGAACGGCGGCAGCTCGCAGGAGATATTATAAGGCAGTATCAGTAGTAGAGCGCGAGAGCTCGATCCAGCTATGCCATATCTTAACAGCCGCTTGGCGGCGGTCGAGTATAGTTGCTCATGGGTAGACTATTCGTAGCAGAAAATGGCTTCGTAGGAAATTTAAGCTCAAGCGTCAATCGATACTGCTCTGCCGAACATCTGCAACAGAGCGCGGGAATATGCGGACGGGGAATCACGTGATAGAGACGCGAGAGAAACAGCAGCAGCAGAAACAACCCAGTCGAACTAAGGGCGACGAGCTAGGGGGTAATAGTAGCAGGACGGCAGTTAGCGAGCTAGGGGGGACAGGCAGGACGGCAGTCGGCGAGCTGGAGATTGTGCGCGAGGAGAAGCGGAGCCTCGAAAAGTGCCTCCAGCTCGTCGTGGAGGAGCGCGACGCGCTGCTAGAGCTCGCCGCGAGGAACGCCGTTGATCGCGCTGTCGCGACGAAGAGCGTCGCCGGGTCGAAGAAAGAGAAAGAGCGCGCCGTAGATCGCGCGGCCGTGTTTGAATCGCCGCCGTCGCCACCGTGCGACTCAGCAAGTGCTATTGGTAAGCTAGGCGAACCGCTCGCTACGGCGGACCGAGCCGGCCTACCGCGGCGGAGCCGTGCGCACTCCGCGGAGCGAATCCAGCGCGTTGGGAGCGGAGCGGGGTCGTTCCGGCGGCCGGCGGAAGGTCGTCCGCAGTCGGCGGAGCGCGGGCCTCGTCGTGCGGGGATCGCGGATGGGGAACCGGCGGAGTGGGAGGGCAGCGGCGCAAGCGCGCTGATAGCTCTGGCTTTGGAGAAGGAGAGAGAGAGCACGTGGGAAATGGAATACCGAAGAGAATTGCGGAACGGGGAGATCATGGAAGGAGCGGAAGCTTTGCGCCGGGTACGGGGGGAAGACGACCGGGCAAAGGCGCGGGAGTGGGAGGCGAAGCGGGACTTTTTGCGGGAGGAGCGGAAGAGGCAGCTAGCGCGGGAAATGGGGAAGGTCGGGGCGGTTGTTGCTGGGGAGAAGCGACGTATCGAGGAAAAGCGCGCGGTTGAGATCGGACGGCGGGATCAAAATCCCCTTCTGGGGGAGACGCGCAGGGAATGGTCGCACGGGAAGACTACGGAGAGCGGGGAAAGGCGACGGCTGCTAGAAAAGGCCAACGCCGCGAAACGGGAGAGCGATCGGGCGGAGCGGAAAGAGAGGGAACGGACGAGGGAGATGGAGCGGGTTGAGCAGCGGGAGAGGGAGAAGGAGCTGGCAGAGGAGAGGGGGAAGGAGATGCGACGGGAAGTGGAGCGGCGGAGGGAGCAGGAACGAGAGAGAATGAGGCAACTGGAGCTACAGAAGGAACTGGAGGAGAGGGAGCAGGAGCAGAAGCGAGAGGCGGAGAAGGAGAGGGAGTGGCGGAAGGATAAGGCGCAGGCGGAAGCGTGGGAGAAGGAGTGCGAGCGCCTGAGCGAGGAGGTGGAGCGCCTGCACGAGGCCCTCCAGCAGGCGCGGAGCGAGCTGGCGGGGGACGAGCGGAGGCTCAGCGCGGGCGCGGCGCAGGGGGGGACGGAATCCGCGGAATCGGAACTGGCGAAGGAGCTGGAGCAGACGAAGCTGCGGCTTGCGAAGGTGGAGGCGGAGCGCGGGCAGCTGGCGAGCGCGGTGGAGCGCATGGTGCTGGAGATGGCGGGCGCGGTGCGGGAGCAGGAGCAGTTCCGCGAGGCGCTGCAGCACACGAGCTTGGATACGATGCTGCTATCGCACGCGTTGGTGAGGGGGATCTGTCCTTCTTATGACCTTTTTCCGCGGAAACCCCTGTGGTGGTTTCGATGTGTCAGTGCCGTGCTTGATGCTGTTGTATAAATTGCGCGTACTCGTAGTGTGTTGCCTAACGCCTCCCTACTCCTCGTCATCCCTTGCAGGGGTCGGTAAAGACGCTTCAGTCGACCGTGCATCTCATGCAACAGCAACTACATCGGGTAAGCTGAACACTGTGAAATGTATGTATGCTTGCATGTTCAGGGCCGGTAATCTTGTGTCCCACGGATTGCTTCGTTGGCTGAATTCTATTACATGAATGCTGGCACATGACGTGTATGATTTGCTTGAATTTTACAGGAGGCACTTGAGAAGGCGTCTCTAGCGGAAAAACTTGCCAAGCTTCAATCGCAACGAAGGCTTGAAGCTGTACAGGTGATTGTTCTTATTAATCAGCATTTCCTGTCCATTGATGGCTGTATGCAGTTCTTGTTTGAAAGCGTTTTCCAATTTCCATTGTTCAAATTGATTTGATCCACGACTTAAACAACTCAACTTCCACCCCTTCCCCAACACATCAGCATCAAGCGTATGCCTCGAGCATCCACTCGCTGCTATCGTCACTGATGCTCCGGTTCAACTTTGACCGTGACCCTCACATAAGGAGTGCTTTGGAGGAAGCCAACCGCACAGCTCACAACATGGCTGATAGCACAACACAGCTGCTGGAGGCATGCAGCTCTGCAGCTCCATCAAACCCCCTCAACGCCACATCGAACCTCTATCGCCTTAGCCCACTTGGCCATGAGCGTATTCGCTCTCTGGCTGCTGTAGTCCCCTTACCCCTATCAGAGTCAGCTCCCCCAGCGGACCAAGATGCATCAGCATTGCCCAAGAGGTCCCAGAGGAGGTCTCTCATGTCGGCAGCATGGAAGCTACTGACACCTAATGGATCAAAATAATAGCTAGCAGATTACATATTGGGTAGAACTAGGTGCAAGACAAACTTGATTTGATTTTGCATAAAACCATGAGTTTGGATTAGCTCTGTAGGTCCCGTTTTTAGATTGTAACAGCTTGTATTGTAAGGTATTATAGGTACGTTACTAAACTTTCTGGTTGTCACTTACAGAAATTCCAACAAAATCTTTGTGCAGGATCCATGAAACATGCATAGCCTGATGATATCATAGCAGAATGTAGCTTTAACGTTACCAGATTGATCTGCCTTCACCAAAGTCTTCATCTGTCCACCTGTGATTTTCAGACTCAGTGACACATGCATAGTGCATACGGGAGCAGAAACTGGCTGGTTGTTTGAAACTCACTTTCCATATTTTGACCGCATCTTGTTTGCAAGTGATGCCGCCGTCGTGTTCTCCGTTCTCGTTTTCTGCTGCTCCCTGGAATACCGTAGATGGTTTAAACGTTCGGCACAAAACTTAAGCACCGATAGTTTCTTTGTGGAAATGGAAGAGGCTTACACTGTCTTCTTCAGCTTATGCATTTCTGCGTCCCGTTGTCGCTGTTGCTCCTCAAGGCTCTGTACAAGCAGATGAGTGAAGCTGGCCAGACAGGGGGGGCATGCTACAACATTACGTAGTGCTCATGCCTTGCTCCTACCTCATAGATTTCCACGGGAATGCATGCGTGTGTAACTGCCGAGACTACGAGCGCCAACACCTGCACACATCATTTTCAGAGAATGTCATCAACATGTCAACATTTGGAACACCGGTACCGTAGTGTCCTACAAAGAATGACCTTTGTACGCCAAGGGGACTCACTTCCAAAATAAAGACCGACAAGAAGACCCACTGGATCTTGGTTAAGAAAGCCCAGACCTGGGAACGTATATCGCATAAGGAGTGGGTTAAATATCTTTCTGCATCGAAATGTAGTTTACCTTGTCGTCGTTCCACTGACGTGAGTTGATGGCCCTTGCAATGGCCGGCTTCTGCAAGAGAAATCACACATTAGGTTTCCAGACTTCATAAATGGTCGCTGTGTCGAACTTACAGAAACAAACAATGCCAGGGTGAATGCACCACAGCCGACTGCTGCCAAAGATAGAATCGCTGAGTGACAGATGAAGCAACCAGAGTTAATGAAGCCCGCGAATCCCAAAACAGAAGCTCCAACAGTCAAGACACCAAGGACGATAATACACCTGTAAAATGGAAGGTTTGTCATGCCGCCGAGGGAGTTATTCCCAGTCTCCAAGATCAAAATGCATACCATCCAGGAGCGAAGTTCGGCTTTTGTTGGAAAGCGAGGATCATCGCGATCATAAGAATTCCTGAAATCTGTAAAGCGTGTCACAGCCATTACTCATCAGAGTCGAATTCGGCTACAGGTAGAGGAAAGCCAGATGCTCACTCCGATCACGACGAACATCAATTGTGCAATCCGTTGCAGCACAACACGGACGGGATTCTTCACGGCCTTAATTCCGGTCAAAGCCATCGTGCGTCAACTCCCTTGGTAAAATGACCTGGAATCCTGACGGTTTTCTACTGCGCTCACGTTCAATTACTGGAGTACCAGAAGCTTTTACTTTCGAGAGCTTCTACTAGAGAATTACATCAACCAGCACTGATGGGAAACGAGGTGGGCGGGAATCCCTCTTCGGGAACCTGAACGAGGCGGCTGTCAGTGACATCACAATTGCGATTGTCAGGTGTTATGAGTTGTAAAAGAGAGAGCGCGGAATAACGAATAACGAAGATGTGACTCAATGAACTGACAATACAATGAAGGCATGCGCTAATATAGTGGGCCAACCTAGCTAGGCGGGAACCTCGGGAACACGAGGTTGGGTGCAGGTTGGGCAAAGGAAAGGCCGAAGGCGACGCGAGGTTGCTTCGGCAGCAAGCAAAGTGGCCGAACGTGCACTTCCGAAAGTTGGGGTTGTACGCGGTTGAGTAAACCCCTATAAGGAAAAGGGTTTTTCCTTACACTACCCCCCCCTTGAAGAAAGGTGGTCAATATCCGCAGCTCGCCTGCGGGCGAGGTAATCACCAAGAAGCGGAGAAGCTTCAAGCGAGGCGGATGGCACCCAAGTGTCGTCCTCACTGGTGCGGTCAGTCCAGCGGATTAAAAAATCCACGTGGCGTCCAGAAGCGTCGAGCCAAACACGATGCGCCAAAATCTTGGACGGGTCAAGCGTCGGTTCTGGGACAGGTCGGGCTGTCGGGGCGCGTTCTGGCGCGCGATGTCCGTCGTGGCAGGCACGAACTTGCGAAGGAGGCTGACATGGAAGGCATCATGTATACGCCAATCGTCGGGTAGCAGCAGCTTCGCGGTGACAGGTGTCACCATCTTGATGATCTTGAAAGGCCCACAAAATCGTGGCCGTAGTTTCGATGGGCCGGGCAGGTGCAGGTTCTTCGTGTCAAGTAGCACTAGTTGCCCAGCTGCCAAGACGAGTTCCCGTCGTAGAAGGTCGGTGTATTTACGGGAAGTGGTATTCGCCTTGCGAATTGCGTCCGCAGCCTTTTCGCAAACTTCCTGAAGTTCCGTTACAAATGTTTGTGACCTCGGGACCGGGTTGTCGAGTGTAGTCGTCGTAGGCACCGTCGGGTCCATCCCGTAATTAGGAAAAACGGGGAGTGATTAGTCGTGCTGGACGGGGCGTTGTTGAACGCGAACTCCAGCATGGCGAGCGAGTTTTCCCAGCGAGTGGGGTCGGAGCAGTTTGTCCTGATCAGCTGCTCCATGGTCTGATTGGTGCGCTCAGTCTGGCCGTCCGTTTGCGGGTGGTATGCCGATGAAAACTGTAGCTTCGTGCCGTACTGCGCCCACGTCTCCTTCCAGAATTTCGACGTGAACTTCGGATCCCTGTCGCTGATGATCGCTGCGGGGATTCCGTGCAGTCGCACGACTGTTGAGATGAAGAGGCACACAGTTTCTTCGGCTGTGATTGTCGTACGACACGGTGCGAAGTGCGCCATCTTCGTGAGGCGATCGACGACGACGAGAACCGCGTCGTTGCCGGACGGCCCAGCTGGCAGCCCCGTGACGAAGTCCATCGTCACCTGTTGCCACGGTCGTTCGGGTGGCTCGAGGGGTTGCAGCAGTCCAGCTGGCCGCTGACGTGTCGATTTCATGGCTTGGCACACCCTGCATGAGGAAACATATCGCTGCACGTCGTTAGCAGAATCAGGCCAATAATATTGACGGTGCAACAGCTTCTGGGTTTTATCAACCCTGAAATGTCCGGAAAGGTTAGAATCATAGACCTCCTGAATGAGGAGTTCACGCAGCAGTCGGTAAGCGGGAACCCAAATCCGGTCAGTTCCGGCCTTTAGGTAATAGTTCCCCTTCTGCGTCGTCGCCTGCCGGTGATTCCCAGTCGTGAAGAACGGGTCCGTAGTGTAGCCGTGGGTGAATAGTCCCGTAAGTAGCGGGTTCGAATGGGTGATGAGCACTGCAGCGGATTGAACTGTTGGTCGAGTAAGGGCATCGGCGATGTTATTCGCCCCTTTCTTGTACGTGATGCGGTAGGTGAAATGACTCTCCATGTAGTCCAGCCACCGAATTTGTCGCGGGTTGAGGTTGGGCTGAGCTCGCAGGTACTGTAGGGACTTGTGGTCCGTGCGAACAGTGACGTCGGCGCCCACCAAGTAGCAGCGCCACAGTTTGAACGCGTGTATTATGGCGAGCATCTCCTTGTCATGTATCGGGTAGTTGCGCTCGGCTGACTGCAGCTTGCGTGACTCGTAGGCGATCGGCTGCAGCCCGTTCCCGAAACCCTGGAGGAGTACAGCTCCGATGGCGAAATCTGAGGCGTCGGTGACGACTTCGAACGGCTTCGATGGGTCGGCGATGCGCAAAACCGGAGGGGAGACGAGAAAATTCTTCAATTCCTGAAAAGTCGCCTCAGCTTCCTCCCCCCACACAAAATTCCTGTCCTTGTGCAGCAGGTCGGTCAGCGGGCCGGTTATCCCCGCCATATTCGGGATAAACCGCCTGGCGTAATTCACGAAGCCCAGAAAACTCTGAAGTTCCGTGATGTTAGTCGGGGACTTCCACTCCTGAATAGTCTTGATTTTCGCCGGGTCGATTTTGATGCCGTCGCGGGAGATGACGT